AGCTGCTTACTCCCGCGGGGCCGGGAGGAGCAGCCCCACGCGGGAGGCCAAGCAGCGGCCGCTGGCACTGCCGGCCCTCACCTGCCTCCTCACCCGCCTGCTTCAAGCCAGCCCCGCTGCTCTGCCCTGCCCCACAGCAAGGCGGCGCCTGCTCCCCCAGCCAGTCTCCCCCTGGGTGCTGCGACTCTCCGGGCCCGGCCTCCCGCACACGAGGCCCCAAGGGGGCTGCTTCTCATGTGCTGCTGGGGATGGGAGGAGCCCGGCCAGGTCTGCCCCCGCCAGCAGAAGTGGCGGCGGAGCCATGTGCTCCTTGGGACTGGACGAGCCTGCACCGGTCAGTCCCAAGTGGCATACGGCTCTGCCGTCGCTTCTGTTGGCCAGTGACTCTCCGGGCCCGGCCTCCCGCACACGAGGCCCCAAGGGGGCTGCTTCTCATGTGCTGCTGGGGATGGGAGGAGCCCGGCCAGGTCTGCCCCCGCCAGCAGAAGTGGCGGCGGAGCCATGTGCTCCTTGGGACTGGACGAGCCTGCACCGGTCAGTCCCAAGTGGCATACGGCTCTGCCGTCGCTTCTGTTGGCCAGTGCAGACCTGGCCAGCCTCCACCCATCCCCAGCAGCACATGGGAAGCCAGCTTCAGCTGCATGCTGCTTTTCCTGGTCGGTGCCAACCTGGTTCTGCCCCAGCGGGTCCTGCAGCACCATGTCAACCCGGGCATGGCACCGGCAGGTCGGGTGGGCCCCAGGTTAACCCCAGCCTGGCCCCACAGTTTCTCCAGCACCAGGTCAACCAGGTTTTAGTCAAGTGGCTCCTGCAGCACCATGTCAACCCGGGCATGCATGCCATGTCAACCAGCACCATGTCAACCCCTGCAACTTCATTGATGTCAAAGGTCACATGACATCACTTCCTGATATGATACCACTTCCTGTGATGTCTTTGAATATGGCTCGCCGGCCCACTGGGTGATAAAAAGTTTGTGATCTGGCCCCACATTCAAAAAGGTTGGACACCCCTGGCCTAGAGCAACCCTGTGCAGTGACCATTTGTATTGCAGGCTAGGAGAGTCTCCCAGAGTCTGAGTCAGAATCTGAAGACCTGCATTCTTGCTCTCAAAATGTCCCTTGGTGGGCACTGTTAGTCTTTTAAAGCAATAACAAAGAAATATATATATTTTTAAATAATTAACAAGATGTTTGTGTTCAAATCCGTAGGTTAAAAAAGAAAGGTGAAATTTAACAAAAGGCAGCCTCAATACAGACAGGTGTCTTGGCATTTCTTTAATGGAAAGGGCAGTCCAAGACTGGACATTTTTTGGAAGTAGCGTAAGGCCTTCCTATACTGGACAGGCATTTAGTAAATGGACCTTGGCTGGGGTATTGTTTGGGACATTTCTGTTTTGTGTTGAGGCCTTAGTTGCATTTTAAGTTATCTTGTTCTATTGTTCCCTCTCCTGTTTTATAAATTATTCTGTTCTCTTATTGTAAACTGTCCTGAACTTTTGTTGGGAAGGTTGGCACATAACCTCTGTTTGTTTATTTATTCAATTTATTTCAAAGCAGAAGTCAAAGCTTGTAATTGGTTTCTTTATTTGTGTAATGCTCTTTCCTCTGGAACTGTTGGCTACAAATGTCCAACTCGGGATCCTTAAAATTCTGGTTTATTAGGCGGATTGAAACACTGTAATGAAGTTAAATCATAAACCTTGGGGCTGGTGTCCCCCCACACACACACACACATGCACACACATGCAAGCTACAAGAGTCAGGTATACCTATCCTACAAGCGCTGGAGTCTGCCATCGATGGCCAGTCGAGGCTTCTTTCAGAGTGGTGTTATCCTCCAGAAGGGGGTCGCCGGCTGGTCCTTCTGGCTGGACAGGTCTGGTTGAGTTGGAGATCAACAGGGCGCCACTGAGGGTCACTTTTCACTGCTTTTTATCTGTCCTTAGCAGACTTTGGTGACTCCCCAGTTTTCAGGTTTGCCCTATCCAGGGGTCATTGACCCTCGTGGGACTTCCCCCCCCTCGGTGGCTACTGGATGGCATCTGTCAGCCCCAGGGGTCGTCCGCAGGTTTGGGAGTCCGTTGATGAATTTTGAATAGGGCTCTGGGAGCGGTCGATTTGGAGATATTCAGCCCAAAAGTTGGTCCCTGGTGTTGATTAACTCAGGCCAGGGCTTCTAGCCCTTGATCAGTGACATTTAGAGATTTCCCGGTTGTTACATTGTCTTCTATTGAGTTCTTCCGTTGGTTGATCTGCAGTTTCCTTAGGTGTTAATTGCTGTCTGCTGCTACAGTGTTACACATTCAATCACTGATTCACTCGCTCTTTCAGGGGCCAGCCTGATGCAGGGAAGTGGCAGGTTGACTCCTGCCCTTGTTAACATTGTTACTAAACACATTTATAGTTGAAAGGTGAGGAGTATAAAATATAAGCTACAAATGCCATGGCACACAAATAGATAAAAATACCAAAATACACGGGGAGATACAAAATGCACACATACACATTTTAAAACATAATTCCTTATCTTAAAGTGAAAGAAAGAGGAAGGAAGAAAAGGTAGAAGAGGAAAAACATATTTAAAGAGGGGAGAGCAAATGCAGGCAAGAGGAAATGGGGCTTTCTGCTACAGAACTGCAGGCCACAGCTTTGTGAGCACATTCTTTTTTTCTTCTCTCATGCTAGAAGTTACTTAATGGAATTTTATCCATAGGTGTGATCACCACAATCACCAAACTTGCCAAGACCTGCACTCTGCGCCTTACATCAAACAAAGTTTATTTCATCCTCATAGACAAAATGGCGAATGGAGGGGTCAGCATGTGGTGCAAGTTAAGTCAGGTAAGTGCCAGAGAGCTAGGCTGACATCCTGCAATATATAAACACTTAATTATCTTTCAATCACTGATGAAGATTTACAGTTAACAGTATAGGTAGTGTTTCCTGATGTCTGTAGTACGGTATCTGAGCTACAAATGCTTCAGTAGTGTGTAGGCCATTGTGGGGTTAATTTTATTATTTATAGATGACATGTCTTCTCATGTAGGAATTGTTTTTCTAGTGTGATCTTAACATCCATTTTTTTCTCAGATTTTTGAGTAGCGGTGAATGTAAAAGTGATTTAGCCTCTCTGTTTGTGAATGGTAGAAGCAGGGTGAGCCCTGATTTTGCAAATGGGTCCATATGTGGGGATTCTTATTTGTGCACAGAGTCTGTTATAGAACGTGCATATGGAACAGAGAGAAACTAGCCTTTTGACATGTGGTCCAGAATGTAAAGATCAGTACTGTAATTCTGCAAACTGTAACTTGCTCAGTTTGAAACTTAAGCAGCTTTTTTTCCTCTTCCCTTCTTACCTCTTGCTTTTTCAAGGAAAACTTCTTTGATGAGTTCCAGATGGCAGGAGTAGCCGCAGAACACAATGAAATATATTTAGAGCTGACACCGGAAAACCTATCAAAAGCTTTAAAAACAGCCCAGAATGCCAAGACAGTGAAAATCAAGTTGACTAACAAGCACTGCCCCTGCCTTACAGTAGCTGTGGAACTGGTAACACCAGAAAGGCTTTTTTAAATGACCCTTGTGACAATGCATGATTTGGACTTAAAGGTGTACAATTCCAAGATCTAATAGTAAATGTTCCATTCATGGACATTCTTTTCTGTGAATTGTTCCAAGTAGTCTGAAAACATTGGTAGGACCTTGCTGCTTTTGTGCTTGGAAAGTACCTAGCACATTGCGCAGGGTACTGGGAGGGGATGGCAAGAAAGATGGGTAGAATATTACAGAACTGAGGATGCTTTTTCCAGTTGTCCTGTTAACTGTTCACAATAATCATTATTCATCCTCTGGGCCCTATCCTACCTGATTTGCACCTGTAGATTCCCAATGAAGTCAATTTGGTCGCATAAGGGAATAGGACAGAACTGATCTTTTTAATTGTGTTCACGTGCTTTTTTTCTCTTTCCTCTGTTCCCTTTAGACATGTCTGTACTAGATCTGAGCCTGGCACTATGCTGTACTAGCATGTTTTTATTAGAAGTTCTGAGGATGTTTTACAGATATTGATGAATTAAGCTTTGCTAAAGCCCCATTAAATAACTATTTCCTTTTAACCTATAGAAACTACAGTATTTTGCTTAGGCCACATCAAGCAGCTGGTGGAGCAAAGCTTAGATATTTTCTTCCTAACTCCAAAGCCAATGCTTTAACCAAACAAACTCATTATCTTATATCTAGCCCTCCTTATCAAGCAGTAGTCACATCGTGACGCATGACATTCCTGTTGGGGTTATTCCAAGGCTGTAGTCCAGTGTACCTGACTTTGATGTAAGCAACTATTTTTTGAGTCACTCTTAAATGCACAAATTTTGGGTGCAACACTGTAAGTTGAGTATATGTAAGGTGTACCAGCAAAGCAAGATAATAGGAACAGTCCAAATTTTCCATGTATTTTATTTGAATGGAACTATTTGTTTGAATATAAATGTACAGAAAAGGAAAGGTTTCTCTGTTAAAAAGGTTATATTTTTATGTTTGCCTGTCTCTTCACCATGTCTACTGGAGTAGTTGTGTCAATAAAAATATAGGGACAAAAGAAGACTAATAGAAAGTGCTTGTTTTAAACTCATACCTTGGAAGTACCTTGGATTAATTTTGTTCTGTTGCTGCAGATCTACTTTAAGGAAATTCCAATGGTTCCAAAGTTAATTTGGGTTTAGATTAACATAACTAAGAACAGATATTGTTTTCTTTTCCCTTTGATTCGGGTGTAGATATTTCCTATGCATTGCCACTGAGTCCAACAGAGCACCAGAATCAGGAGAGGACTGGGAAACATGACATCAAAGAACAGGCTGAAAGAAATAGGACTATTTAGGTTGGAGAAGAGAAGATTTGGTGTGGGGGAGGGAGATGTGATAAGTCTTAAAAAACAGAAAGGGTGGTTATATGCAGAATGGAGATAAACTATTCTCTATGGCTGCAAAGGACAAGACAAGGAGCAATGTTTTTATATTGTAACAAGGGAAATTTAGGTTAGACTAGGAAGAACTTTCTTGCTCAAGGTGGTTAAGCTTTGGAACAGACTACCCAAAGAGGTAGTTGATTCTCTATCCTTGGGCATTTATAAAAACAGGTTAAACAGACTTGACTGTGATAGTTTAGTCAGGGGCAATCGTGCCTTGTACAAAAGTTTAGACTAGATGATCTCATGAGGTCCCTTCCAAACCTACTGTTCTATGATTATGTAGCAAAGAATGTCCCTGCCTGAGTTCACATGACAGGTCATTATTTACTGAAAGGAACTCTAGCTCTTTATTTGGAGAAACTGGGCTTGCTGTTTTGTTGTTGACCACAAAATAAGTTGAGAGCATAAGAAATTTACAGTACACAGTAATGTGTTGCCCTGAAAAATCAGGGATAGTCAACTGCTAGCAGTAGCCTGCTGTTCTGTATGATGGTATGTATGATCTGAAAAGTTAAATCATCCTCCGTATTACTCATCCCCTTTGGAATATCATAGCACAACACTGTATTCTTTATTTATAATTCACTTGATCCTCCTCCTTTTTTATAGGCAAGTATTTACCTACCAGTGCTGAAGACCATGAAGAGTGTTGTAGAGAGAATGAAAAGCCTCGGCACTTCCATTATGAGTACAAGCTGACCTCCTGAAACGTTGCAAAATAGCACAGCTGCGTCCTTTACGTAGAATACGTCCCTGTTATTTTGGGTGCTGATCCTTAAATTGATTTCTGTCTTTCATGTGAGATGTAAAATTGAGGTCTTGAATGAAATTGGTTGGAAATTTCCCAGAGGATTGGTATTCCATCCATAAACAACAATTCATTTAATCCAAATGTTTCATTTCATCTCAGGTTTGACCATTTCTGCAAACCCAAGGCAGATTTCTGAGGTGACCTGCCTGGATTCCTGGAAGATCTAACCCAGGACCAGGGAGTAGGGTCCCTAGCTGCAGGACATTTGTTGGCAGATCTGCTCTGGAGTTGCTGCTGTGCTACTCAGTGAAATTGACAGCAAGCCACTGTTTCTATTAGCAGAGAAACTGATTTGGTCAGATTCAGACAGAAAACATATTTCAAAAGAACAAAATATACCAAAAACCTACATATCTTTTTTGTTATCAATCTATAGTCTTACCTGGGCTATAACAGCAGGAGGATTAATGCTAGTCTGATATAGAACAAATGTTGCAAATACTGTAAATTTGCTTAAATTTATTCCTGTTTGTAGTTCAAGTGGGTTCAGCGTGACTATTCAGAGGCGCAAAACTAAACATGAATGTATCTGTCCAGAATTTAGTGCGTAGTATTGACCATACTATCTGCTTAAATTCTCTTTGTAGCATTTCAACTGGAAATTTGCATTTCTTGCCTCACATGGTTGCACAGTGTTGCTGAGCATCATTTTAAAGATGCTGGGTTCCATAGCAGGATTGGCAGTCTTGCCACATACTTGTATATCCCTAACTTCTCACTCAGGAATGTTAAGTGGCTAAAGTATTACTTTTCAAAATGCTTTGACATCATCTGAGGCAAGGTGCTCTAGAATTGCGAGGTATTAGCAGGAGAGTACATTCAAAACTTTGTTCCATGGTAACCAAAGAGTGACTTACAATGCATATGCCTCATGTCAGTCATTCTGACGTTTTTGAGCTATGACAGTCATCGCTACGGAATGCTCTCTCTGATATTTCTGTGACTTTCAAAAGGATAGAGCTATCTGATGTTTCCATCCTTAAAACTAGAGGTCAGTGTTGTCTTTGCTTTGTTAGGAAAATTGCTATGATTCAATGTTGTGAACAGGATCCATGTGGTAGAAAGGATTTTTGGAAGCTTTTAAGTAATAATTTGTTTTCACTTGGCACCCTTTATTCCAAAGGATCTTGTGTTTTGTTGAAAACTCTGGGCCAGGTGCACTACTTTATAGCCAATGACAAAACTTCCATAGACTTAAGTGGTAAAGGATCGGCAGTATAGAGATTTTTTACTCATACCTGACTTAAGCCCCCATTCAGTTTTGAAGTTGTTTAGCACCTAAATGCTACATAATAATTGTTAGCTCTAAAAATACTGAAGAGAAATCTAATTTCTTTGCCTCTATGAAAAGAAATTCCAGATGTTTCTCCTTTGTTCTCCTCTTATATTCCTCAAATCTTAGTCAAGGGAAACTGGAGTCAGAAGCGGACTGGCCAAGTTCGCTGATGACACCAAACTTTGGGGAAAAGCATCCACACCAGAAGACAGGCGGGTGATCCAGGCTGACCTGGACAGGCTCAGCAAGTGGGCGGACAAGAATCTGATGGTGTTCAACGCCGATAAATGCAAGGTTCTCCACCTTGGGAAGAAAAACCCGCAGCATCCTTATAGGCTCGGCAGTGCTATGTTGGCTAGCACTATGCAAGAAAGAGACTTGGGGGTCATCATTGACCACAAGATGAACATGAGCCTGCAGTGCGATGCTGCGGCTAGTAAAGCGACCAAAACGCTGGCTTGCATCCATAGATGCTTCTCAAGCAAATCCCGGGACGTCATTCTCCCTTTGTACTCAGCCTTAGTGAGGCCGCAGCTGAAGTACTGCATCCAGTTTTGGGCTCCACAATTCAAAAAGGATGTGGAGAAGCTTGAGAGAGTCCAGAGAAGAGCCACGCACATGATCAGAGGTCAGGGAAGCAGACCCTACGATGACAGGCTGAGAGCCCTGGGGCTCTTTAGCCTGAAAAAGCGCAGGCTCAGGGGTGATCTGATGGCCACCTACAAGTTTATCAGGGCTGACCGCCAGTATCTGGGGGAACGTTTGTTCACCAGAGCACCCCAAGGGATGACGAGGTCGAATGGTCACAAACTACTACAAGACCGTTTCAGGCTGGACATAAGGAAGAATTTCTTTACTGTCCGAGCCCCCAAGGTCTGGAACAGCCTGCCACCGGAGGTGGTTCAAGCGCCTTCATTGAACACCTTCAAGATGAAACTGGATGCTTATCTTGCTGGGATCCTATGACCCCAGCTGACTTCCTGCCCTTTGGGCGGGGGGCTGGACTCGATGATCTTCCGAGGTCCCTTCCAGCCCTAATGTCTATGAAATCTATGAAAAAGTCATTGGGGAAATGCATTATTAGGAAAAGAAGGCATGATGAGTCTGAAAACTGCCTTTCAAGAGTTAAGCATGTGTGAATCTGAGCTTCATCAAAAGTCTCCAAGACTTATGGATCCAAGTTACTTTTCAAAATGTAATTTTAGGGTACCTGTACATAAGCATGGAGACTGCTCCAACGTGCTATAATTACAGCATGTCGAAGAAGACTCGATTAATTGTAATTACCACACTCCATTAGCCTCCCATGTCTTGTATATCAGTGCTGCCACTGCCGTTTTTAAGCGCAGGAACACTGATACACGAGATGTGGCAGTGCTTGAATTAGACCAACTCTCGGAGCCTCTCTAATTAAAATGCCCCCTCCGCCTCTCCATCCCTGGAGCATGTGTAAAAGTGCCCTTAGTTCCTAAATCGCATGAGCACTTTTGAGAATGTTATCTGTTCTCGTCATAAAATAAGCTGCTGCCAACTGTATAAGCTGTCCTTTGTTTTATTTTCAGATTAATGGCACGGTTGGGAAAAATGAAACTTGCTTATATTGCAGCTGATTGAAGCAAATCTAAGTAGAGAAATGAACTTAAAAATAGAAACTGATTTAGTGTCTGTTACAACTCATTTTAAAGATCTAGGAAATCCTTTGTGGGGTAAGTCTTCTCATTTTGCCTCATGAAATGTTCATTTTATCTTGTTGTTTAGGTTTTGGGATTGAGAATTTATATGGAGAATAGCTTGTTAATACCTGGAGAAAGTAACTTTTCATATATGCAGTCACACATTAGAATGATTCAGACAAAAGATGTTGTTTCTCATTCCTTTCACATGTTTGAATTATAGTAGAGTAATGAATCATTGAAAAGAAAGTAAGTGATCTGATGGGAAACTTTTTTTCCAAAGAGAATACTTATGAATTTTGTAGGAGAAATGGGATTTTTTTTCCAGCCATCCTGGAGAGAACCTATTTAAATATAAACAAATATTTGCCAGCTAGCATTGAGACTCTTAGTCTGTTTTCTGTATGTGGTCCTTCTGTTTTGTACCATTTCAGTATCAGAGGGCGACTCTCAAAATTCTACTCAGGACCAAGATCCAGAAATCATGGCTGAAACACGTGTAGACATCAGGAAGCTCCAGCAGCTACTTGCTGGACAGCAAGTAAATCCCACAAAAGCTTTGTGCAGTACATTCACTAGCTTTGTCCTTAGCAGAAACCATTCCTTATCATGCTTACAAGGTGTAGGACAAAATACTGTAACATGCTCAGACTGCCATGTAATCATATTTGTAAGGCTTTGAAGGATAATTTAATAAATGCTCTTTTTGCACAAATTTAACTTTTTAATTTTCAAAGGTGACTGATGATTTTGGTGATCACCTTAACACCAGAAAAGGAATCTGATTATCAAAAAGTGTTGAGATTTGTTTCTGGGAAGCAGGCAAGCCTTTTCACAGCATCCAGTTAAGTACCCAACTTTTGAACCCTGAGGCTATGTTAGATGGGATAGGTCTTTTTTGTTAAGCAGACAGCATACAATTAGATAGTCCAAGGCAAAATTATCATCTCTAGAAAATGAGAGTGGTTTTAAACTAAACTTCCCTGTCAGGAATATTTTAGTATTCAGGACTGTTTTTCAGATCCACTGATCAACTGATTTTCAGTCACCATTAAGTATATTGACAAAATGGGTATACATTCAGTATCCAAAAAACAAAACAAAAAAACACACACCTTTTGTTTCATAGTGTGAAAACTCAAGTGCTGCTCCAAGTAGAGGTTCTGCATCATGAGCTGGTCTGATTATACCTCCTACTGGGTGCATTAACAAGTGAAAAGCTTCTGGTGATTCATCTAATCAGGCCTTTTTTTCCAGATATTGTAAGCAAAAGGATTGTCCATTTCATTTTGCTTCATGAGAACATTTCTCTTCAGTATTTCATTCCAGCACTTGTGTGAAAACTCAGTCTCAGGACTTTTCCAGAGCTAAGGCCTTGCCTACAGACCCTGAAACAAACATAAAGCATGGGGATCCAGTCAAGTGCTATGCTTTGCAAGTAGGCAGTTATTGCTGCCTTGTCACCCAGCCCAGGAGCTCGTGCCTAACCAAGTCTTTCATCTCCTGGGAAAGCAGGAATAAGCTTTCTCAACTGTAGATGCTGATAAAGTGGTGAGTTCGGTGAAGGAGGCGATTGGTGTGGCTGTGCTTATTGCCTTTATCTGGGTGCGGATCTTCTTCCAGATGTGGATGGTCAGAGAACACTGTAGACCATAGTGGTGGCCCTATGCAGTTATCCCACTCCATCCCTTGTGTCCTTTATATATTGGTTCACTGCTCTGGTCTAAAAGTGGGGGAGACTTGGATATTCCTACAGTATGTAAGGGATGATTTACAGAGCCAGTCTCCTGTACCATTTGGTGTAACAACGTGCTCAGGTGTCTGGACTATTTTCTTGCACTCTGATGAAAGAGTTGGGGGTTATATTGTCCAAATTAATAGTTGCTATTTTGTGAGGTTTGTAGTAAAGAGCTCTGCACACTCAAGTGATGTGTGTTTGCTTTTGATGAAGAAGTATCACACAAGGATTCATGGTCCAGGTGAGCATGTATGTTTGGTAAGTTGCTGTATTCAGCATCATTGTGTATTGACAGTCTTTGTCCAAGTGCTGTACTTTCTAGTGACCCTGGTCTGCATTTCTGAGGTTCAGGTGCAAACTGTAGCCACTATCAGAATCTTGGAACCATCTGCCACTGATGCCACTCTGGCTAGAAGGGTCTTCTCTGGTGCAGTTCTCATTCCAGACAGTCTTGGCAGTGATATAGCGAGTCCTCTACTTTGGTGTTCTTTAAATCAGCTATTTAAAACCTGATCTGAAGGAAATCAAGGAATAAAAAAAACAGGATAACAAGAAGTCTTCCAAGCACTCTGACCTAGTGGTTGGTGACTTATGAAGGGGCTCAGCCTGTCTCCTCCAGTGTGCAGATTACATAGAAGTACTTCCCTTCCCTCCTTCTCTTCTCTCTCCCTGTTCTCTCTCAGAGGTCTGTCTTAACTGTTTTCTTGGGCACATGCACAGAATCACAAGTGTACACACATTGACTTTAAAAAAACAAACCAAAAGGGAGTCCTGAATAACCTATCAAATAGACAGATGAAGTAAAAGTGACAAGCAACTGAAACATTCTCTTCTCCTCCTTGCAGAGTAGCTCCCTGAAAGTATGATGGCAGATTCCTCCTTGGTTTGTTTGATCTCCTCTAAACCTGACAGTTAATCCCAAACATAACTTTTCCACCTCAGTTTTCACAGGCAAGGTCAGCTATGGCACCTGGCAGCACAGTTTGGGGAGGATGTGAGCAGTCAATAGTGGCAAAAGAACAAGTTAGGCACTGTTTAGAAAAGCTGGACATGCACATGTCCATGGGGCTGAGAAGGATGCACCCGAGGGTGCTGAGGGAGTTTGCCCATGTGATTGCAGAGTTGCTGGCCAGAAAGGGAAGAACGGGATCCAGAGAACTACAGACTGGTCAGCCTCACCTCAGTCCCTGGAAAAATCATGGAGCCTCAAGGAATCCATTTCTAACCACTTGGAGGACAAAGCGATAAAGAATGGCCAGCATGGCAATCATGCTTGACCAATCTGATTGCCTTCTATGACAAGATGACTGGCTCTGGATGTGGGGAGACTAGTGTATGTGATATACTTTGACTTTAGCAAGGCTTTCAATACGGTCTCCCACAACATTCTCTCAGGCAAGCTAAGGAAGTACAGGTTGGATGAATGGAATGGAAGGTAGGTAGAAAACTGGCTAGATCATCAAGCTCAACGGGTGGTAGTCAGTGGCCTGATGTCTGCTTGGCAGCAAGCATCAAGTGGAGTTCCCCAGGGGTTGGTCCATTTTGTACAATATTTTCATCAATGACCTGGAAACTAGGATGAAGTATACCCTCAGCAAGTTTGCAGATGACATCAAGCTGAGGGGTGTAGTAGACACGCTGGAAGGTAGGGCTAGGTTTCAGAGAAACCTTGACAAATTGGAGGATTGGGCTAAAAGAAATTTCACTCAGTTCAATAAGGAGAAGTGCAAAGTCCTTCACTTAGGATGGAACAATCCCATGCACCAGTACAGGCTGGGGACTGATTGGCTAAGCAGTAGCTCTGCAGCAAAGGACCTGGGGGTTACAGTGGACAGTAAGCTGAATATGAGAGAGCAGTGTGCCCTTGTTGCAAAGAAGGCTAATGGCATACTGGGCTGCATTGGTAGGAATGTTGTCAGCAGATCAAGGGAAGTGATTGTTCCCCTCTATTCATCACTGGTGAGGTTATATCTAGAGTACTGTGTCCAATTCCCCCTCCCCCACCACTACAGAAAGGATGTGGACAAATTGGAGAGAGTCCAGTAGAGGGCAATGAAAACAGCGGATTGGGGCACTTGACTTCTGAGGAGCAGCTGAGGGAACTGGGCTTACTTAGTCAGGAGAAGAGAAGACAGTGGGGAATTTAATAGCAGACTTCAACTACCTGAAGGGTGGCTCCAAAGAGGATGAAGCTACGCTGTTCTCAATGGTGGCATGTACCAGAACAAGGACCAACAGTCTCAAGTTGCAGCAATGGAAGTTTAGGTTAGATATTAGTACCCTCCTAGTGATAAAGTTTTTCCTAAAACACTGGAACAGGTTGCCCAGAGAGGTTATGGACCTCCAAAGTTATCTTTGGAGATTTCTAAGACTGAGCTAGACAAACCCTTGACTGGGATGATCTAGCTGGGGATGGTCCTGCTTTGAGCAGGGTGTTGGACTAGATGACCTCCTGAGGTCCCTTCCAATCCCTTCCAATCCTAACTTTCTGTGATATCACTTAAGGCCTGGGCCATGGCCACAAAGACTAGACTGCCCTTCCTCCTCCAGCTGTCCATTTCGTCCCAACCGTGTGCTGGAAAGGCAGCACAAAGGTACCTGATGCTTAAGGGCCAGGGAAGGTTTTGGGGTACAACCGGGGAAGCAATGATCAGGAGAGGCTCTGCCTGCTCCCGAGTGACATAGTGATAGCCCCCACCCCTCCACTGCACTGGTCCTCATGCCGACAACCATGAGGCTGAAGTTGGTTCCTTGTTCCCAATTCCTTATTTCTGGATCCCAGGGAATAAGGATCCAACTTCAGCCTCATGCCTGCTGTTCGGCTTGACTAGAAGTCTCTTCCTGGGGATGTTTGGATCATCCATGTTGCTCACTTCTGTGTGTGCATCCAGTTCTGTCCTAAGACAGCTGTAATACAGAGCTCTGTCTCCCCTCACATTTCATTTGGATCATGGGCGACTGGTGCCTCCTAATACTCGGGGAGCACCAGTGGCTGATTGCCGACTGGGGGAGGGTCCCCCAGTGGCTGATCGCCACCGCTGGCACAAAACTTCTGGTTTTGTGCTGGTGGCAGCGATGGCTGCTTCTCTCGGGGGGCACGGCCATCTCAGGGGTTGCACGTGCACCCCCCATGCGTCACCAATGACCTGGACAAAGAGTCTTACGGATCGCTAGCATATGACCTGTGAGACTTTGTCTATCCCCATGCCCATGCTGGAGCTGTGCTAGGGCTGAGAAATCATAGCCATTAGGGCTAGAAAGGACCTCCATAGGTCATCTAGTCCAATCCCTTGCCTGAGGCAAGATCACTCTGGAAGCTGTGCCTACTCCACTTCTTCTTGCCCTGTGCCTTGCCCCTCCTCCTTCCCCAAGGCTGTGGCATGATTACAGCTTCCAGCCAGAAGGAGCCAAGGAGCTAGAAGCTGTGCCCAGTCTGCTACCACTTCTCACCCCCTCCCCAAACCTACGGCATGGGCCTAGCTTCCAGCTGGAGAGGAGCTGTGCTGGGCAGGGCTTTGGGAAGGAGCAGGGATGTGGAGAAGTGGCAGAAACATGGAAGCAGTTTCCCTGGCCCTGGTGTAGCTTCCCTCCAGCTGGAAGCTGTGCTCACTGCAGCTGGGGAATGGCGGCCTGGGAGAAGCGGCAGTGGCCCGAGCTGCTCCCAGCTGCATAGTTCTGGCAAGGGCATAGGGAAAGCCACTGCTGATGCGCCACAGAAGTCACCTGGCCCACATCCAACTACAGCCATCTTGTTTTGGACCAGTTGAAACCTGAAGAGGAGGAGGGGCAAGGCACAGGGCAGGAAGAAGTGGAGCTTGAAAAGTTTGCTGCCCCCTGGTCTAAGATGAAGGTCTTCTTGCATATGTACTGGCCTCTGGCTGTTTTACCACTCCATACAGGAAGAGCACAAACCATCTGTAGATGCTTCCTCAGCCTGATGAAGGGTGTTTGTGCCTGAAAGCTCGCTAAGAAGAATTTTTCCAATTATTTGAGTTGGTCTAATAAAAGATACCAGATTTACCCAAAGAATCTCTTCTGTCCTTAGGTACTCAGCCTCTCGCTGCTTTGAGTACCAATTCCGTGCTTACCTGGACACATGCTCCTTCAGTTTCACGGTTTAGTCTGAAGATCCATGGGACATACTGTTTTACTCACAGTCATAAGGAAGCTTGAACAGAAATTCTGTGCTGTTCGTATCCAGCTGTGCAATAAATTTGTGAGGGAGAGCAACTTTTCAAAGCTGTGCTGAAAATAAACTTGCTGGACATTAGTATGTTTTTACTGCACTTGTATAGTGCCTGAAAATCATCACTTGATAAGTTTTGGTCAATGCTAATCTGGGTTTGAGCTTGTGGAAGACTCCAAGTCCATTACAGTTCCTCTAAACAGTCCAGTTCCCATTTTACAAGAGGTGATATGATGATATTCAAATTTTGGGGTTTAAAATCAACAAGTAGTCTGTATAAGAATTCATGTTTCTGCATATACGAGAAGATTAATTTAGCAAATTTTATTGTAAGAAACATGAAACTGGCAATTTACTTAGTTGTTGCTCGAGAGAACACTTGACTCTTCAGGTTTCAACTGGAAAAACTGTCTTTA